AAAAATTACTGTTAGCACTATGACACACTTTAATGAAGGTAAGTCATAAGGTCTCAACCTTAAGCAAAGCCAACACCTTCCATACTATATACTTCATAACCCTTTTGTTCTCAGCTTACACTACAGGTTATGGAACTTGATCTTCGAAGTCCAGAGTCGGATTTCATCCCACACACATGCTTCTACGTGGTTACACTCTGTTAATTTTAAGAAACCTGCACCCTAATTTGCATTCTACCCACCTTCCACATTCAGTTCATTCATTAACGACAAAATACACGACCATGAACACACACAACATTATAACTTACAGTGTCGAAGTTTTCTGTAGCATTCTCTAATGTATAGTAAGGATGAGGAATCAACTTATTGCAAAGGATATATTTCCCAATTTCTGTTACAATTTTAGAGCATGAAGTTGGGGTAAGTGTTTCGTCTATATTACAGTGTATGAAAACAGGCTTCGCCAATCGACTCCGATTTGCAATGTTGTAAGATAACCTTTCACTTTTTTAATTTTCCTTCCATTCTACAAATATATAGTTAGTCCTTCAATTCAACTTTATCAGGTCAATGCAATGATAGTATCCAACCACACACACTGTATTCTTTTTTACAAACAGCAGTTATTTTTTTCAATACAAATCGTAATAATTTCCGACCAATGACGTCATACTTATCGTCCTGCCATCTATTGTTGATACAACACAACAGCGGTGGGTTCTTGACACTCGTACTCAGTCGATAAGAATGTTTACTGTTGAGTCTACTTCTGCACACTAAATTATTTTTACATATGATAACGGTGTGAAGTTTGTCACTGAACTGATACAATCTGGTGGAATACACAGCATGTAAAAATCTCCGTTAACGCAATTCTGAAAATACAGACAGGGAGATGACCTCTGAAATGTCGGTAAACTTCTAACATACTTTAAGATACGATGCCCCAAAAGACAGAAATCTTCACATAAGCCGCATTGAGAACTTGAATTCGAAAAGTACAATTTCTAAACACGAAATTTACCTTTGTTGTAAGATATTCCTACGCGTGGCCACACACGTACAGGCTTTGTGGCAGGTTTGTGCTCAGTCCTTTTATTCGTCAGTCGATGCTACGACATTCACAAGGGGTTTTGAAGTTTTACACTTCACTTTGTCGTTTCGTGACGTCATCACTGCTGTGCTCTACTTTATGTCGTATTATCGAACATAACCTAACTCACTCGGAAGAGTGCGGAAACCTTCACACAAAAGATAACAGCTTGCATGGTAGGTTCAAAGGTTTGTTATACAGACGTTTGAGTTCCTTTAAAATTTCTTTACAAATTTTTTACAGGTTAGTAACAGTATTCCTAGCGGTCGAGACTTCAAACTCATCGACTTAACTATCGAATATCGAATCTTCTCGATTAGGGAATTTCCAGATCGATTTATGCTCCCAATACCGATCAGTTATCTATTGATTGACGTTTAACATTTATTTCCTTAATAAACTCAGTTAATATCCTAATGCTAGCACGTATGGATCATGACCTGATTAATAATGTGTGCGCAGGCAATAACTTCGATCTTTATGTCGTATGTATCTGTTTGTGAAAGGCTTAGCAGTTGTTATTCGTTGATTCTAACTTGAAGCCGCAACTGAATAAATTA